TGTCCAGTTTAAGGGTATTACACAGAAACATACCAAGGGAACATGAATCAAATATGTATCTTTATTCATTTACAATAAACTCATAAAGTGCATCATTCTGATTGAAGCTAAGGGCATACAAAACTGTCTAACAGTTTATGATTAGTGGAACATTCAAGATTGTTGCACTTGATCCTCAGCCTGATAATGGTACTATGTCAGGTTTCAAACTTGTTTGCTTTTGATATGCCAACTAGTGAAGGCCTTCTGGGGTTAATAATTGGTTATGTTGGAGCAAATAAGGATGGGATCTAGGCAAGTGATCATTGTGATAGGCTTTGCCACTCTGTCAAACAAAGAGAATGCCCTAGTAATGTCTTCCTTACCATATAGTCCAAATGACTACAACCCTATGTTAGTGGAAAATAATTCAGTATAATTTCTCACATAACATAATAAATTTGAGTGAATTCCACTCCGAAAAGCATGTAGATATTCCCTTAATTACATCTTGGGGCAGAGAAAACCTCTTGATTCTGGTTTAGAAGTTCAGATAGTAGAATAAACCAAGTAGAATTTCACTACAGAAATTTCCTTCAAAAATCTTGGTATATATTCCCTCTTTATTTGAGAGAAAACTAACAAATATAAATAAATAAGAGTTCTTTTTTCTATACACAACAATCAAATGGGGACCATAATTAGCCATATTTCATAAATAAGGCTGTAGGTGGCCTTTAAATAATGATTTTATGTATTATCATGGTCTGAGGAACCATAATCAGCGAAGTTCTAAACTAGGCTGTAGTTTTCTCCCTCACACAAAATAATGATTTCTTAGGTTAAAATGGAGTAAGGAACCATAATCAAGTAAGTTTCATGGACAAAATTGTAGATGGTTATCTCCTTATATATAAAACAATGATTTTATGGGTTAAGATGGAGTAAGTAACCATAATCAACCAAATTTCATTTACAAGGCTGTAGATAGTTATCTCCTTACATGTATTCCAATCTGAGACAAGGAAGAAAACAAGGAAATAAATAAAGAAAGAAAGAATGGGGTGAGATGAATTGGAGGAATAGATAAGTCCTCCTCCTAAAGGAGGCTGTAGGAATATCATAGTGAAGAGGTGTATGAGGAAAACAAAATTCCCTACCTTCCTGTTCTTCTTTCTTCTATGTTCTTCACGTCCCAATCTTCTTCTCTCTTCTCCTTTCACTTGTCTCTTGTTACTGGGAATTTTAGAAGCAGAATACTTTTAGCTATTAGAAATTAGGCTTCTCTCCTACAAAGAGAGGGGATTATATAGTGGAGGGAGGTGGTTAGGTAATTCCCCACCCCTCTCTTCCTAGGGTACCAATTATCACCCCACTTAGAACAACTTAAGAAGGGAAAAGAAAACTCTTTTTCTTAAGACGACATGTGTCCCACAACTTAAAATGGCTAAAGGAGGGAAAATAACTCTCTCATTCTAGGGTGACATGTGTCGTCCCACTAAAAGTGGCTAGGGGAGGGAAAATAACTTTTTCATCCTAGGGTGACATGTGTCACCCACTTAAAGTGGCTAGAGGAGGGAAAAGGGCCCTCTCTTCTTAGGGTAATATGTGTCATGACCACCCCATTTAAAGTAACTAGAGGAAGGAAAAGAACCTTCTTTTCTTAGGGTGCCTGGTGCCATGTATCACACCACTTGAAGTGGCTAAGGGAGGGAACAAAACCCCTATTTTATAATAGGATAGGTGGCAACCCCTTTATAAATATCTAAGATTAAGTAAGTTTTATTAATTAATGTAAATTTAATTCTTTTAGGGAATTCTATCCCATTAAATGGGCTCTACTGTAGGCCCATTAAATGTTTAATGTGTCATTATTAAGGCCCAAATTAAGTTAGGGTCTGCTGTTCACTAAAATGGACTGTAGGCCCCTTTCTTTCTTAAATAAATTACTTCAGCCCACTCATAGGACTGGGCTTAGAAAATCAACTTGGAAAGAGGCCCTTTTTTTTCTTTTTTAAGCTATATGATTGGGAGTACTTTAACAACCTCTGTAATCTAGTAAAACTACGGACTTAACACCCTGGTGCACCTCCACATACCTTCCCCCATTTCCTCAACGAATTGAATGTTGATGTGCTAACAAACTAACTATATGGGGGATGAGTCCACCTGCACCCAATAAGGAAAAAATACACTCCTAAAGTTTACAACAAATGAAAAGAAGATAAGTAAATGGTGACAAGTCTCCTACTTGTATTGAATAGAGGACAAACATGTGGCGATAGACACCAGTTGGGACTCCTCTTTTGAAGGATGCATGATTTTTCTCATGGAATACCTCCTAACAAAAAACCTCAATCTTAGGGGACACAGGTTTACTCCAAATTTCTTTAACTAGGCAAGGTGGCACCAATGGAGAAGGAGAACAAAGAGAAAACAAGAAGAATGTTTGGTCCCTGATCACTCATGAAATAAGAAACCTGGTCTTGTCTTTCAACAATGCACAATTCAGATATGATATACATATCAAAAAACATAATGTCATTTGTTTTGGCTAGATTTGTTCCTGTTTCAAAAAAAAAAAAAGGCAAATAAACTGGGAGTTCTAGGATTCAACCTACTCTCTCTTTTGATTAAACATCTATCTTCCAAAGGATAAAAAGCACTCAAATCTCAGACTACAGCATAAGCAACCACCTTTTTACTCGCCTTTCCGGTCCTGACCTTATAACTAACATAACCTGATTTAATTAAATTAAGATAAAACATAAAAGATATAAATCAGGAAGAGGGGGAAAGAAAAAAAAAAAGATCCTTATGCCCCTTTGCCCATAAAGAGATGAGTACAGAAAGAACAAACAAAAGATTCCACACACCAAGGCATCCCCATACTTGACCTCACAGTTTTCAAGCAGACACCCTACATCCAGTCAGATTACATCTCCATCATGTAAATAGGAATTCCAGTAATGTCACATCATATTTACATACTAATACTGAGCTAAAGAGGGCAAACATTTAATCTGGGGCTTATCATTTACTTTGAAGCTTTTCTAATTGTACCCAATGAGCATATGACCAGACCATGTTTTTTGTTCCAATAAATTGTCAGGTTAGTAGCAATATATCAGTAAAAAAAAGAAAAAAAAAAACAACGAAGCCAAATACCTGTGATGCCTGTGATATGGTCAAAGCTGTAGCTCCAATCAAAATAATGGTATCCATGAATAGAAACACGAGAACCCCAGGATGTTGAACTGCCAGATGATGTATCCATCTTTCCAAAGCAGGGATTGCTGGCATTCCTGTCCAAATCCCTATCAAATGGTACAAACATGTCAAATTATCAATATAAATATGATAAGAGCCTCAGGTAGCTTAGTTTGTCTCCATATAAACCTACTTTCAATTGTGATAATAGCAGCAATGAATGATGTCACAGTTCCCATGCAGCAAAAGACAAAGAAGTCCCATTTGTTCCTCTGCAACAGTGATAAAAATGAAGCTGATAAGGAAGTATGGAAAGTATAAAAGAGGAATTTTAAAAGAATGAGAACTATGGCTGGATATACATGTACCCCATATTATACTTTAACCAATAAATAATGTACTATATCAAAACATTGTTTCAAGGATCACTCAATCAACATGGTAGCCAACTGCCAGTCTCTTTTCAAAGGCAGCAACTGCATGTTTCACCATCTCCTAATGGTAAACAAATTCTATAGTTTTGCACAGTAGGGCATCATTAGTCCACTTTTTATTGTTTGTCTTTTTTCTTTATTGTACATTCAAAATCCTACGGTTCAGGCTTCTATCTAAAAAAGAATTTTATAGTGCAAAAAGAAAAGGAAAAGCCATAAAATATCTTTCTCGAAAACATAACCTCTAAAAAAACTAAAAAGAAAGCATCTGTTACCTTCTTTGAAAGCAACAGAAATGACAGAACCCACAGGTAGTGTTGCATGACCAGTTATCTGTCCCAGGCCTGATGGTTGGATCATTTGACCCACCATCCAGAAGAAAAACCAGGTCTCGATAAGGGTGGATGTGGTAATTATCTTTTAAACACCATTTGCTAATGTATGAGTATGTGTTCTGGATGTCTTGAATATGTTTAGAGTATAGTTTTATGCTTATTTTAACATAATTCTACATATGTGTGGATATGTATATCAAGAAGTCTCGATTTTTTAAATTTTCAATACGAACAGTTGACCCTGCTGGCTGTATCTGCACCCTACATCCTTTATTACTGAATGGTCATTTAGGGGCCATAATGATGATCTGGATTACGTGGCAGGAAAACCTAGTTGACAGTTGACACTTAGACTGGGCTTTATAACAATACAGCAAATATGTAAGGATGTAAGCTGACTGACTGTTGATGCCATCTCCCATCTGTGACTGGGTTGGCCTCGGGAAAAGGAAACATAGAGAAGAAATGGCACATCATTATCTCAATGATTCAGCAACGAAAAATTTATGAAAACACCAACAAATTCCATTAATAGTTGTCAAAATATTCCAATTAATTATACAATTCACAATTGAATTATCAATGCTAAGGGTTACGATCTATATCTTATATCTAGATCTTTTTGGAGATCTAATAACGTTCTTTACTTTTCCATTCCTTTATTTCTTTTAATTTCTTATAAGAAAACTTGTTTAAAACCATTACTAGAATAGTCTTTGTTTAGGTTGTTTAATTCCTATTTTGAAACCTGAGTTTATTTTCCATCATATGTAGGCTAATAATAACTTTTTTTTTGATCAGCAAGAAAAAATTAATTTAATAAATTAAAGAGAGAATTTAGTACAAAGTGAAGAAAAAATGCAAACCCAAACAAAAAAGCAATTACAATGAAGCCCAAAAAAGAAGTTGTCCCATGATCCCTTGTTTAGCAAAGGGTATCAGCCATCCCATTTGCAGTCCTTCTAATCCACTTGAATTCTACACTTAATTCCTTGGAAATACTTTCCACTTCCCTAAAGGCATGCCTGAAAGTCCATGGAACATGACTGCTACATCTTCCCCATGAGATAACTATTTTAGAATCCCCTTTGACTTCCTCCACCTTCTGTTATCCCAGTTGTTTTGCTAAAAGTTGCAACAAAGCACGCAGTTCTGCTTTCAAAGACTTTCCAACTCCAATAGGGCCTGAATATAAGGCCACCACCCTACCTCGTGAATTTCTGAAGACACCTCCTATTCCTGCCAAACCCAGATTTCCCAGTGAGCTTCCATCAAAATTCAGTTTAAACTTGGTACCTTTTAGAGGTTTCCAAACCATGATAATTTTGTATTTTTCCCAAGATGACAATGCCACCTTCGCCCAAACTCTTAATATTTCATTCACTGAGAAGACCTGAAAGCTTTCCACCAACTTTCCCAATGTACAACCTTAATGTTTATTCTGTCAATTACCTCTTCCATTGATCTACTTTTTTCATTGAATATTCTCCCATTTCTCTCTTCCCAAATTATCCAAATTACTGTTGCCTTTACTGGTCTCCACATAATTCACCCTCTTTTCTTCTATTGTCTCAAGAAATTGGGACTGAAGATACTAACCACATCTTGAGGGGGATCCCACTTGCAACCAAACAGAGAACAAAAGTACTCCCAAATGCAGTGGACAAAAGAACAGGAGATTAATAAATGGGATAAGGATTCACCACCAGCCTTGCATAGAAAGCACATATGAGGAGAAAGGCACACATTGGGCCTTCTTCTCTACAGCATATCACGAGTATTTATCTTACCAAGGAAAACTTCCCAACAGAAAGCTTGAATCTTCGGTGATAGGCTTACTCCAAATTTCTTTTACTGAGAAGTCTACCCCTAGGGAGTCAAGAAAAGCAAGGCTACTGAAAAAGGAAGCACAGGTGAAAAAACCATCAAGAGATTGACCAAATCCTAGAGCCCTCAACATTTTGATCCAAACATACTAACTCCAGCATACCGAGTAGCTGAATAAGAGATACATATTCATTCTCTCCAAGGCCTCTTGTGAAGCCTAGGTCCCAATTTATCCCTTTGGGAGATGATATTGCCAATCTGGACACAATTTCACCTTTCAAGTTAGAGAGGGTATAAAGCAAACGAAAATACAAATTAAGAGGTGTTTCCCCCAAACAAAGGTCTTCTCAAAACTAGATTTTGTTACCATTTCCCACACCATAGCAGATGGAATTGAGGAAACTGGGTAGCATAGTTTTCAAGGCGCCAAGGCGAGGCTAGGCAACAGGGGGGCACCTAGTCGCCTAGGCGGGCACCTAGGTGTCGCCTAGGCGATGGATTTTTTTATGTAGAAAAAATAGATCCTAGGGTAGTTCCCTAGGTACCATAAGTCCATAACCATATTTCCTTAATAATTATTCATAATTTTCTTAAAAAAAGTATAGAGTACATGTTAGAGTATAGAAAATCAACATATTAATGAGAAGACGAAAATGAAGGAAAAGAACATTCAAAAAATATAAGGGCTGAACCCTTATTTTTGTTATAGGAAAAGAAGAAAAAAAGTAGTAGTAGAAAATGTGTTGATTAGAAAAAATTTTAAGTTCTTCCTTACTTATTGGTTCAGGTTTTAAAGTCTTTGAGGGTTCAATACAGCATTTAGCAATGTTTGTATTGATTGAACCCTAAGAAATAAGAAAATAATAAAAAGAAATTAGTATATAAACACACAAAATGAATATTTTAGTTTAATAGTGCCTATTTTATAATTATAATGTCAAAAAATAAAGAATAAAAAAAGTATTTTATAATACATAGTACAAAACTGCTTGGCAATTAGGCGCGGCGAGCCTCAAAGGGCGCCTTATCGCCTAGGCGTTGCCCTGACAACTATGCTGGGTAGACATCAAAAATTGATTTCCAAGGAGAGGAGGAATTTGATTGAGGGGATAATTTTGCATCCCAGCCATTATCTCCCAACCCATGAATGCTGTCAATTACCTTGCGCCATAACCTATCACTTTCAAAGGGAAATCTCCATAACCACTTACCTAACAAGGCTGTATTCCTAAGAACTAAGTTCCCAATCCCTAAACCCTCTTTTTCCTTGGGTTTGCAAACCTACTCCCACTTGACTAAGTGATCCCTTTTTTCCTCTCTAGGTTCCCATAAGAAATCCCTCGTATATTTCTCTAACTATCTTGCTATCCTATTCAGGATAAGAAAAGTAGACAAGAAGTAAATAGGAAGACTTGTCAGGTACACAAGTAAATAGGAAGACTTGTACAGTGGATGTAATTCCTTTTCCACATGGCTAATAAGAATGTTATATGGTTAGTTAACCTTATTTTTCACATCCATTGTACAAGTGATAAACTCTGGTGTACTACATAAATATATGGTAGATATATATTAAAAGGGGATACAATAATTTTTCTGTATATATAAGTTTTTAATTTATTGACAAGTTTCTACAAAAAAGAAATAATCTTACAATTTACAATAAATACATCATTCAATTTGATTTAACCTTCTCCATGATTTACAATATGATTACCATCTTCAGAACATTGATCTCATAGTTTCACTAGTCTTCATGATGAGCATACTACAACTGAAGAAAACATATAGCAAGCACACTTAATCAGTAACCATAGAATTCAATAAAATCCTAGATCACAGTGATGATTAACAATTGTATCATCCTCCAGCAGGCAAGGCTACCATCTGAGTAGAAGAAATGCATTAATGCAAATCAAAGAGACAGCAATGAGCACTTAATTCAGAATTGAGTGGGATGAATGGTTGAGCTCTTATCAACTAGAAGCTGACATACATGCAATGAGTGGTGTGGTTGGTTATCTCCTATATTCTAATGTGTTCCAAGGAAAACCATAACCTTGTCACATCATGGATAGTGGATTCAAATTACAATATATCAATTTCTGTTGGCAGCTCTAACTGGGTGCAGGATTGCCAAACATCTGGCCTGGTGGGTTATCTCTATGAAGGGTGGTTCTTTTAACACAAATGATTGGATCAAGAACCATGGAAATGAGCCTTGGAGACTGGAAAACAACCTGGCTGAAGTTTAGTGACCTGGTTCTTCAATTAGACATCTCTACTTGTTGGATCCCTAGAGATCTAAATGCCATTGTGGACAGTCTGGCTAAATTGGGTTTTTGTAGGGTGTTCTTGTTTAGTGATTCCATGCTTATTTGTACATCCTCTCATGTAGACTTTGGTTTTTAATGAATTTCTTTAGTTACCTTTTCTTGAAAACAAAAAAACTCACCTTCCCTACACAATTAGATATCCATGGACAGTGATGATCAAACTGCTCCACACAGCGCTTACACGTAGAACAGTGCTTGGAGCGAACAGGTCTGACTATCTGACAGTAGGGAGAAACACAAATCAAAATTTATACAAAACGGTAATCCAATAGTTGAGCATGAATAATGTAGGTCGGAAATATTTTTTGTTTATGAAATGCAGTCTCTACTAAAGTCATCAGTTAGTTATAAGGACCTTGCAAGTAGGACATAATTGAGACCAGTTTCCCATCCAAACAGAGGAAATGTTCAGATCAATATTCAACAATGGATCCTGCAAAAACAAATGGGTAATAAGAGAAGGAAAGAAATGATCAGATTTATCAATAGCCAAAAGACAACATATGCCACTTGGTAAAACATAAAGGATTAAGTGAAACAGGATTCAAATTACAAACACAATCTTGATTACCTTCAAAATCAATAGATCTATAGTAATTCCATCATATTCCTCATACCACTTTTGCATCATGCTAAATAAATGTTTTTATTCCAAAGGCAGATCTTCCTCATACCACTGTCTGGTATTCCTTTTTATCAGTTTTTCTTTTTTTACAAAATAGGTGAATATTAATTTGAAGGTTGTGAACCAACTACCATTGCCTGGGGTATCAAAAGTACCAAGAGCAGCACTGGCCCAACACAGGACTTCCTAGTGTGCCACAGGCAAAAGATATGAAAGAAAAAAAAAAAATCAGCTACGCATGTTTGGACCCCATGAATTCACTTCTTGTCATCCCCTCTTGCTAGGTTGTCATCTATAAAAAAATGGTAAATCTCAGAACATCAAAATTGGTAAATCTCAGAACCCATCTGAAGGGGGATTCACCCTGGCACTTAATAACTAGACCTCTATGACTATAGCTAAGTGGTCATTTGATAACATTTGTCAGCTGTGTTGGACAGTGTATGCCCTCGGGATCCAGCATTTGATGTAAACTGTGTTTTATCCACACACCTATTATAAAAGAGAGAGTTTCACACACTCTCTTTTTGTCCAAGATGTAACTTTTGTTTTCCAAATTTCCTCGTATAAATTTCTAAAATTTGTTATCTATACATCTATATATCTATATAATGTGCTATTAAATTTCTAATTAGGCTCAGTTTGGAAAGAGTACAAATACAAATATGTACAGTACAAATATATACAAACTATTTACCATCGTATAAGACAAATGAAATCATGATACTTCTCCCCCTTTCATTTTTGTTATTGAATATCAAACTATTTATGGTCGTGCTCTCTCTCTCTCTCTCTCTCTCTTCCTCGAGCCCAATATTTAGGATTGTCAATGGGTTGGGTCTAGTTCAGGATAGCCTGTACTAGTCCCCCATCCCAATAAACTTTTATTTATTCATTTATTTATTTTATTAAATTAAATAAATTATTATCTTAAAATTTTATTTATTTAATTTACTAAATTATTTATTTATTTAGAAATAATTTACTAACAAATTATTATTAGCCCAATATTTAGGACTGTCAATGGGTCAGATCTGGTTTGGGATAGCCTGTAGCAGTCCTGTCCCAATACACTTTTATTTATTCATTTATGTATTTTATTAAATTAAATAAATTATTATCTATAAAATTTTGTTTATTTATTTAGAAATAATTTACTAAAAAATTATTATTACTTGCAAAACTAGATCCCAATACTTAGAGCTATCAATAGGTCAGGTCTGGTTCAGGATAACTTGTACCATTCCCATTCTAGTAATAAATAATCTTTATTTATTTATTTTGTTAAATTAAATAAATTATTTATTTATCTATCTCACTCTCTCTCCCCGTTAAGCCCAATATTTAGGGCTGTCAAAGGGTTGGGTCTGGTTCAGGATAGCCTGTACAAGTCCTGTCCCAATAAAGTTTTATTTATTCATTCATTTTTTCATTAAATTAAATGAATTGTCTCGATTAATGCTCTCTCTCTCAATACCTACTCTCTCTCTCTCTCCTAGAACCCAATATTTAGGGCTATCAATGAGTTGACATTATTATTTTGTCAATACCCTTTGTGATGGTGCCATTTATTGATTATTTAATGATTTTCTCAAAAATTTTTATTGTTGTTATTGATTTTTATTTTTATATAATAAAAATGAAAACCAAGGGAACATTGTCTCAGAATTTATACATGACAAACTTGGCATTGACAACTTTTAATCTAAATGATTGTAAGAAAAGAAACAATGTTTTGCTAATTTCCCAAAGAAAGAGGGTGACAGTGGACAATCGTTGCTATATTGCTAATTTCCCAGATAAACAATGTTTTTATTTTCATTGTATAATTGTCACTATATTGCCTCGAAGCATGAGACCTGTTTTTTTGTCATTTCCACAACTATCTAAACTTTTTTTCACTAAAAACTAAGCCTCAACCTCCAAAGAATACTAGGTTCAAACCAATGAATGTACCAACACCTTATCTCTCATTGTGAATATAGTGATTCTTATTTAATGTCAAGTGACACCATTTCTGCCTTTGTAGCTAACAAGAGAAAATTCTACAGAAAATAAAAAATTAAGTAAAAGACAAATAATGCTTTCCCAACTCATTATTACATTTTATTTTTACTTTATTATAACATTATTTTTTAATGTAAGGAAGATGATTATCCACTCCCTACATTTTGTTATTTTTGTTGTATATTATTGATAATTGTTGATTAGAATAATTATCATGTAATCAATTATTCTTTGAAGTTGTAATAATCTTTGTACATTAGGATTATGAAAAAATAATGTGACTTTTCTTCTTAGCTTTATTTTAACAAATTATCTTTCACATTAATAATTTTTACTATTATATATATTTTGACATTAGATACATGTGTGTAGCACACACCGTTCTGCTAGTTATGGATAAAATTACAGTTTTGACAATAGTTACTTGTCACTTGGTTATGTAATATGTTTCTGTGAATAGCCCTTGCTCTGTATTTTAGGATTAAGACTTGAGACATCTTTTACAATATACAGACAAAACTTGTTCTCAATCAGTGAATAGACATGGGCAGTCTATTCTGACAAGATTGACATGCTTCTGCTGTCTTATGAGAAGGAATAGTATGAGTCTCAACCGTTAGGGTTAGACCCTAGGCACAAGGCACGGGTGTTTTAGAAACACTGAACTAGATGGTTTCTGAATCCCTTGGACTTTATGATTGGTAGGGAATCCAGATTTTTGGAGGTAATCCCTAAACCTGATATTGGTACTCAACTAGGTTATGGAATTATCTGCTTTTGATATGCCAACCAATGAGATCCTTCTGAGGTCAATACCTGGGTATGTTGGAGCAAATAATGAAAGAAGTTGAGTGGATGGTCAATGTGATGGAATCTATCACTTTGTTAGACAAAGTGAATAGCTCAATTGATGTCCTCTCTGATGAGAAGCTTAAATCTGGCACCAGTGATTTCAAATGTTGTTTGAACTTTGAAGTGTTTTGCAAAATAATATTATATTAAGTAGATAATTATTTTGAAATCAGTTTGCAAGTGTTTTTCCCGGGATTCTCATTATGAAAGGGGACATGACACTGTGTACATAAGCATTACAATAAGCTTTCCCATATTGCAGTGTTGATATTAATGATAGAGAGATTACAATGCAAGTATCTATTCAGGTTGAACACTTGATGGATGCGATCCAGAGTTGAGCCATTGGATTTGGACCTTGAGGATGGAAAATTCCAGATGTTTTGTAAATGGGCTTACATTGATCCCATACAGCTGAGGTCGATTTCTACTTATAGAAGTGGGATTGTGATCTCTAATGTCCCCACATATGTTGGATACGATCCAGCAATGTGGGGGGTTCTTAGAAAGGTCTGAGCTGGACTCTAGTGGGTCATGCATAACCAACAGAGATGCTCTCACATTTTTGGGCGGAAATGGGATTAGGAGAGCTGAATTAATTAAAATATCAATTCTTACTCTCCTTCTGGGATTCAAACTAGGGGTTCTAGGGAGTCTATCTAAGAACCAAAAACCCCTAGATCAATGTACGCATTCCAGAAAGAAATGATTTCTACCTCCTAGAATTTGGTCCAGAGAGAAAAACGAAAAAAGAACTATTGTTTTATTCTTCTTCCATCCAACCGTCAGATTTTGATCAGCCTTGCCAACTTCAATAGTGCATTTGATTCATTTTGAGAAGACTTCAATTGCTGTTGTTTCACCCATCTACATTGGTGGATCACTTGAAGCAAGTTACAAATTGTGCCACCTACAGTTGTTGCTGAAAACACGGGTATCTCCATTTGGGCATGAACTCCACTAGTATCTTACTGTGATTATGGTAAGTTTTCTAACCATCAGAGTCTCAACTCTGATGTGTTTTGGCTTGAAAATGTTTTGGTTCAAGTTCCATGTCAATCTGAAGTAGGAGAAACTGTTTCTCCCATAGTCTGTGATTTGCAGTTAATCCAGTCGATTGAAATTTTAATGTTAATCACTACATATGGCAGACCTCTTTCCGCTGCACCACCTTCTTTGATTTGTCTTTTAATGGATAAAATGGTTATATAATAAAATGTTCAGGGTTATTGTAATCAAAACAAAATGCCATTAAGCTATTAAGGAGTTCACTACCTACCTAATGACTTAATTCACTAAAATACAAAGCAACACGTCATTCAATTTAGCCACTTCATCCATTAACACACAACCCTATATCTCTGAGGTCCTTTGAATCACTATCTCATCCAATTAATGACAATTTAGTAATCCCCCTTAACAATGAGACCTTCAAAGCCCTTGGGCACTAACAAATGAAAGTCTCCAAAGGAGAGATGGTAACTTTTCTCTCACTGTATTGATTCCTCAAACTACAGGCACAAAATACTAAAGAATGATCTCTCTCCCCATTTCTGAACACCCTCAATGCAGGGAAGTTTCTCTCAACTCAAAATTAGAGAGAAGACTGCCTCAGGCCTGTCACTCAACTGGCAGCCTAAATTTGAATGGTTAAAAGTTATAACATGCTTATTTTACTTTTTTTTGGGGTTATTTAAGTTTTCGAATTCGAGTTTTAGTAGTTTTAGGATTTATTTTGATAGGCATTTACTTTAGGAGTTGTTTCCTTTTTTTGGTAATAAATAAAAAAGAAAATTTTATTAATAAAAGGAGCAAAAGCACATCAGGAGGGTGACGAATGATCCCCAAAAGATCAAAAACAAAAGCAACATAAAAGCTAAAAAGTCCTTTACAACAGAAACAAGAGAAAGGCTAGTTTAATTCAAGAAGGCTCCAAAAGTCAACACCCA